TGTACAAAACATTAATTCAAAAAATGATTATTTCAAATTGCTTCATGTGCTATGTTTTAGTTGATTATCTATGAAATAATGAAGTTTCAAAAATAGAAATAATTTGCTTGGTTGGAGGTTGCTATATTATTCAACACGATTGAGCGACATTGCACGGCAGAAACTTAAAATTTCATTCAAATCGCAAGCTAACGTGTTAAACAAGAATATGTACATTTACCATGGAAACAGAAACTGCCAAAAAACTACCTTTCCTAGATGTGTTGATCACCAGGACGACAAATGGAGATATGGAACTTTGTGTATATCGGAAGAAGACCTATACCAACAGGTATCTGCGGGCATCATCATATCATCATCCCCAACAGAAGAGGTCCGTGATCCGTACTTTATTTCAACGAGCAGCGAGAATATGTGAAGGAGATAACTTGAAGAAGGAGCAACACTTTCTACGAGGCGTGCTACAGAAGAACGGATACACTTCGAGGGACATCAACCAGGCCATCAAGCAGCAAAAGCAGAAAGAAGACGCGATAAGTACAAAACCACTTGGATTTATCTGCCTTCCCTATGTTTCAGGTGTGATGGAACGAATTGCCGGGCACCTCAAGAAAAACGTCATCCTGGTGCGATACGGGACGGTCAGCAAGATTCGGAACACATTCCCGATAGCCAAGGACAAGCTAACCCCATTAAAAGGAGCGGTAGTCTACCGACTATAGTGTAGTTGTGGGAAGGTTTACGTTGGCCAAACTGGATGAAAGGGATGTAAGGTTGAAGAAGATCCAGCAGTCGGCGGTTGCAGAACATTGCCATGCAGAGGGACACCAAATAGACTTCGAACAACCAAAGGTACTGGCTAGGGACACAATTTGCGTTAGAGATGTTGACAGTCACAACTCATAACAACATCGTTTAGTGGTAATGAGAAGTTGTATGGAGAATAATGCTTTATAGAATAGGAGAGATGCTGATGAATTTCCACGATTTGTTAGTTTGCAACTGTTGGCAGGTGTTGACAAATCCCATAACACCGGAATTGCAAAATACTGAAATGTAGAAGATTTTGGCAAGGTTTTCGGTTTTCGGCACAAGCAATATAACCACCTCTAAAGACAACAATGCATTTATTCGTTTCTGATGAATCTGTAGGAATTCTTACGAAGCCGTAGGAATTCTTATCCAATGTAACCGCGGCCTAACGCTATGTTAAAGATTTTAAAGTGAGGTCGCTTGCGAGCAAGGCTATACTATTATTATCTAANCATCATCATCCCCAACAGAAGAGGTCCGTGATCCGTACTTTATTTCAACGAGCAGCGAGAATATCTGAAGGAGATAACTTGAAGAAGGAGCAACACTTTCTACGAGGCGTGCTACAGAAGAACGGATACACTTCGAGGGACATCAACCAGGCTATCAAGCAGCGAAAGCAGAAAGAGGACGCGATAAGTACAAAACCACTTGGATTTATCTGCCGGGCACCTCAAGAAAAACGACATCGTGGTGCGATACGGGACGGTCAGCAAGATTCGAAACACATTCCCCATAGCCAAGGACAAGCTAACCCCATTAAAAGGAGCGGTGGTCTACCGACTATCGTGTAGTTGAGGGAAGGTTTACGTTGGCCAAACTGGATGCAAGGGATGTAAGGTTGAAGAAGATCCAGCAGTTGGCGGTTGCAGAACATTGCCATGCAGAGGGACACCGAATAGACTTCGAACAACCAAAGGTACTGACTAGGGACAACAGATGTTACCAAAGACTGACAAGAGAAGCCATAGAAATCTATCGACATAGAAATAACGTCAACAGAGAAGATGGCTGGGAGCTTAGCAAAACATGGAAGATGGTGGTGAACACGAAGACCTCCTCCCGTCTCACACCAAAAGCGACGTAATTAGTTGATAATTAGGTTGTAATTAGCGTTAATTAATTATTAATCAGTTTTCCGACTTATATATTGTACCCGATTTTCGATTTCGTCACTTCGAACCAGTTTCTGAAGAAGGTTGCAACATGGCATTCGAAACGTCAAACCTTTTATTAAAAGACGCACCACAAAACCCGAAATGTTTCTAGTGTTAGTTCTAATTTTAGTTCAATATGTATATAATATTTTTAAATAATGATAAAGTCATATGTAGTATCATTGGGGTTATAAATGACCCCAATTACGTTATTTTGATATTATACTAAATATTGTAAAGTGCAGTGTTTCTGGGAATCCCTAATCTATTTATTTCTTCGTCTACTCGGTACTTGACGTAATTCAATGTAACTGTTAAGAACGCGGCATTCACACAATTTGTAACTATTCTCTGCAATCGTTTTGTACTCATGGCCGGAAGAAGTTTGGTTCAGCTAACTCATAAAGGTGCAGAAGTTATTTGACGACAATGGTTTTAAGAAGAAAGTGAAATTGATAGCGAAGGTGAACAGGATGCCACTGCCAATTCAGATGACATTCTTTTTTTAAATCAACCTTGTCTAATCATATAAAATCAAATAAAATGATCAATAGCATCATGATCACATAGCAAAACGTGATGTATGGAGTAGGAGTATCTGCAAAATACGCTAAGGACACAATTTGCGTTAGAGATGTTGACAGTCACAACTCACAACAACATCGTTTAGTGGTACTAATGAGAAGTTGTATGAAGAATGATGCTTTATAGAATAAGAGAGATGCTGATGAGTTTCCACGATTTGTAGTTTGCTAATGTTGGCAGGTGTTGACAAATCCCATAACACCGGAATTGCAAAATACTGGAATGTAGAAGATTTTGGCAAGGTTTTCAGTTTTCGGCACAAGCAATGTAACCACCTCTAAAGACAACAATGCATTCGTTTCTGATGACTCCGTAGGAACTCTTACGAAGTCGTAGGAATTTTTATTCAATGTAACCGCGGCCTAAAGCTATGTTAAAGATTTTAAAGTGAGGTCGCTTGCGAGCAAGGCTATACTATTATTATCTAACATAAATCATCACGATTTTATTCAACAAACAGCTGTTGTACAGTAAGTAAAGTAAAGAAGATGTATTTTTACTGGTGGTAATAGACAGTGATGCCGAGGATGTTGCGACCGAGGCGCTCCCTGAATCTCGTATCATTACGTTTCAAATGTAACGTCTCAGTTTCGTACTCACAACTAAAAAACATATTTTTGATCGTCATTTCTAACTCATAAGCAATAATATATTTATGTGCGTCACATTTCTTCTAATAACACAATGAGATATAGGTTCTCCAAGAGGGCTAAATACATCAGGCAGCCATCATCGGCCCCATCTGTAATGGGGACGTTACAAATGTTTTTTATTGGCTTACTCGATAGTTTAGCAAAATTGAAGACTTCTATAATTTTTTATTTTTTAAACTGGCATTTCGTTTTTCCAAAAAAAAAAAATAATGCAAAATTGAAAAAACTTTGGAGACGTCACCGTCGTTTCGCACGCGGTTGGTTGAAATAAAAATCAATAAAAGGTGCATGAGCGAGATGCCACGAGACTCTTATGCGCTACAAGAAGAGGTCCGAACCATGCACGTTTGTTCTTCTTGATCTTACGCGAAAACCTCGTAAACGTCACCAAAGCTTTTATAGAGGGGATTTTGAATTTTAATATTGATTATTGCAAAAATTAAAAAATTTTCGGATCTGAAAATGTTACCAATCTTTTTATTTTTACATAGTTTATCGATTTTTTGAAAGACGGTCTTTCTATTTGATTGAGGGTAACGACCCCATTATACCTAAAGAGACAAGTTTGGAACAAGAACAAATTTGGAAAAACTTCTGGTATGATTGTAGAAATGGTAGATTTGTCTTGATTTTATTGCGCTTTAATTAGAAGTAAACCATTAATAATAAAAACAATCAGATATAAAATTTCATTCGAAACGCAAGCTAACGTGTTAAAAAAGAATACATTCGATACTAATTGAGATAGTACAAAACGTAGTTTTCCGTTAATTTTGTTAAACAATTGTGAATAAAATCGCAAAGTTGGTTTCAAGATTTGTTAATTGTTAATTCAACCTTAAACACTCACAATCCAAAACGATAATTGGTTAAAGTTAACTTTGAAAAAGGTTTAGGAGTGGGTATATTTAAAAAGGCATTAGTAAGTTAATTTTAATTCTAAATTATATTGACTCTCCAATTAAAACTAAGATACTGTTAAATATTGAAAAGATTCATTTAATAGACATAACCCCATAATATAATAATTATAATTACACACTTAAACCTGATTTACGTTATTGATATGCGCGTTAGACATTTGGTAAACGTTATCTTAATGATATTGCGTCATAAACACTGTAGGATAAACGCTTGTAGGATATCTTAAAAAATCTTTACGTCACACAGGTAACAATAAGTGTTTAAGACAAAGATGGTGGTGAATAATTTGTAAGAATACTAATGATTTTATAAAGGTTACAAAGAATTTTAGTTCCTTTTTCTTTGTTCTAAAACCAAATTTTATTCCAACATAATGACGTAAGTACAAAACAGCTAAGAAAAAAAACTAATTTATGTTTTTTTTTTTAATTTAAATAGTAAACTATTTTTTGCATATTAATAGATACAAAGTTATTTGGTTATTAATTTTTATTCTCAATAATTATAATTGTATCATAAATATTATTATGTATGATAATTATGATTGTGATCATAAAAACGATTGCTATTAATGCTCATATATTGAATTGGGTAGCTATAAATATCCAGTATCAAGTTTTAATTAAGATAGACAAGTCTCTGTAAAGGTTAAAAGTTTATGATTGAGTGTTTATTTTGAACTAGTCTGTTTACAAAGATGTAACATTGACACAAACCAACCGGAATATGTAATAGCAAACCCGAAACGAAAAAAATCTAGCAAAAAAATTCTATAAATAATCAAATATAAACAAATCTCTTGTTAAAATAAAGATATTCCATCGGTGGTATTTATATTAAATTTTAAATTTAAACTTAAATTACTTACCGTAATGAATGTAGGTTTCGTTGAAAATTGAAGATGTTGGGTTTGAAACGAATCGGTGTCAATAAAACTTGTTCGTCGCGGCTTGGTTCTTCACCTCTTGGTTGAGGCGAAGAGCGAAACGAACAGATTACGAACGAGAAATTTAATCGAAAGTATTTAAATTATCATTTAAAAGCTGGTTTGGTTGGATGGGAATAAAAAAGAAATGTTTTAGATTGGGTCGATTGCCGGTAAATTTTTCGTTCAATATGAAACACACATTGCGAGTGTACCGTTCACGGTTTTACTACACTTCCTTCCTTCGATAAAGCCGAGTGAATACTGGGGCACACGACTCGCATTCATTTTACTACGCCAGCCGTCACTCGATACTACACTCTGGTGTTGTGAGAGGCTAAATGCAGTCGACCAGAGACGGATTAAAAAAATATTCATCAATTTTCCCAAAATGTTTAAGACAATTAAAAAGAAAAGAATACAAAAGGTTTGCTTGCTAAGATTTATTTAAGCTCAAACTTATTCTATTGATTTTTATTCTTTTTATTCTCATTATTTATATTTACCAAAAGAGTTCACTGTGCTGTATTCATCAAATACGACACCTACGTAATTAATTACGCCAAGTTATTTCGGTCCGTGGGCGCTAAAATCCAAGCTCGAGGACTCTCCTCGTTGCCGTCGTGGAAAATATTCTCTCGCAAAATTTGGGTCAGGTCAAGTCCACCAGAAACTGTGACAGGTCATACATTTTGCATGAAGTGTAAAAATCTAACCGGTAGATAAAAACCAGAACGTTTTTGAGCCAACAACGAGTCTCGTACCTAGAGACGTTAAATTTGAGACGTTTATGGACTCGGTAAAATGTTGGAGAGCTGGCCGTAAATCAGATATTTTTCCATTTAAAGTTCACTTCCAATATTTTAAAGTCATATAAACATTTATGTCTCAAATAAAAATAAGCTTAAAATTCATGACAAATTATTTGAAATAAATCATTGTTAACGATTGCGTAGATTATTTTGGCAATATTTTAATTTTATATAAAACATATATGTTCCAAGAATGAACTTAGTTTAAATCAGTAAATTAATGATTATATACATTTAATTCATAATTTATGATGTTTTCGTTTAATAAGTGTGTTAATACTAGCAACTTAATCAGATTCACTAATAATAATTAATTATAAACTAACCCAACCCACTCTTTGTATTCAGTAAAAATTGAGTGTTGACAGAAATTGACTGAAAATTTAATGAAAACCTATAGGGAAATCTTTTGAATACTTTATGGCAAATTGCATCCAAAATTAACAATTCTCTTGAGAATCCGAGATTGTCACAATTCAAAATTGCATCAATTTCCGTAAAACTCAGATTTGATGGTGTAAACACTAATTTTTAAATATTAAATGGAGGTAAATGAGAATAGTTTCGCAGGAAATTCTGCGAAATAATCTTATCACGGTAAACCAAACTTTGAATGCTGTTAGTTTCTTAGTAATTAAAAGGAAATATGCATGGTGAAAACAATACTGAGAAAATGTTATATAATATGTTATATAGGTATAATACTGTGTACGAAACAACATTTGTAACATTAATGACATTCCTTGTACCAATACGTTTCGTTACTCTCCTGTAATGACGATGACACATGAGTCTGATCGATTATTATCGACATGTATAGATAGTAGATAAATGTTAGAGTACATTTAAACCCTTATTTTTTTTGATACTGTACACAAAATTTCTTTAGCGGTGTTATAGTTTCAATGCTTTACCATTATTGTTATTATTTTGTAAAGTATAACTTATTCGTAATTTGTCTTCATTTAAATGTCTGGTATTAATAGAATAATCTTCATTATAATAATCTTTTCTATTTATTTGTTACTTATTTATATATATTTGGAACGCAAACTGGAGAATCACCAAACACTACAGAAAAGAAAAAGAAAAAAAATAAGAAAAAAAAAAAAAAACAAATAAAAGGAAAAAAAAAACACAAATAGCAAGGGATTAGGAAAGAAAAGGCAAACCAAATACGATCTAATCAATATTACAAAAGAAGAGCTGATAACAAACAATATTATTGTTATCATATAAACTATGATTCTGATTCTGTTAACACAAATCTTTGAAAATAAGTGTAGTTGGAAGATAAAATTTGTGGATTAAATAACGGATAAACCATTTATATTGGTCGGTATAGGCGAGCTCTATACCATCGAGGCGAAATTTATGATACCAGGAACATACACCTTGTATAAAGAAGTAATGGAGAAGCAACGGACCGAGCAACGATAAACCTGAGAAATTATGTACCTTTAGATGTCAACATTAATGTAATCGCGATACAGTAACATGAAATATAAAATAACAGCAAGATCTTTAGGAGGTTAAGGAGTTAATCGATACTTGTACCTGTTACTTTGGAACAGGTATTTGTATGTTGTTCCTTGAAACAGTTACTAAATTAAAAAAAATACGTACAAAATACTAGTTTTATAAACGTTATCGATTCCTTCTCAATGTTACTTATTATTCAGTATGGGTAGAAACAACAAAGATTTAAAATAAATAACAACTGTTACCAATTAAACTGATACTGGTACTTAAGGACAAATTATCATTATGAAGTTTTTCGTATCGTAGCTGCTTTAAACAATTATTGTAATATGGTACGCTACATATAGCCACAGGTTATATAAAATATAGTATAGTATACCTTGTGTACTAAGTACATATTGTATAACGGTTGGAACAGAGGAACAGTTGTAACAGGTATTTGGAACAATTACTTTTTAGGAACAGGAACATATTGTATCTATTCCTTAAAAATACTAGTTTATAACATCTCTATTTACTAACAAGTTCAACCTTTTTCTACTAAACGTAATTTGGTGGTACTTGTCATAAATCAAAAACAAGTAAATTTTTGTGAGAAATTGAAATGCTGTTACTAGTAGTCCCTTTATACAGGGTTAGAACTATCATTTAACTTTATTTGTCATTTAACGTCAAAATTAGAACTATTACAAATCAAAAAGTACAATGGCACTATACAATAACGAGGAATACATACATAGAAATGCTTGTTGTTTATGGAGCTACTGGAGAAAACGCTGCACATGCAAGAGATTTGTATTTGAAACGATTTCCAAATCGACAGATGCCTTCAGAAAATACTTTTTTTCGGTTAGTCCAGCTAGGAAGAGAGACAACCTAAGAAAGGTCTTGGTGGCAGTAGACCAAACAGATATGGAGTGAATGTAGAAGAAGAAGTTCTAGAAATTGTTGATGCAGATGCAAGTACTAGTACTCGTCAAATTTCTCACCAACTCGAAGTTTCCCAGAACTTTGTTTGGCGTACATTGAAAAGTAATGGTTTATACCCCTACCATTTGTAAAAGGTGCAAGGACTGACTTCCGCTGATTATCCTTTGCGGCTGCAATTTTAGAGTAGACAATAATTGTTTTAGAGATTTTGTAATTTTGCATTTAAAACATTATTATTAGACGTTTCATAAATTAACATCTATTATTTCTTTTAACAAATTACGTATTATCTAAAATAACAAAACTACTGAAATAATAAATTGTCTAGTTTTACAGCTCCTTCAAAAATGAGGATGGCGTTGACAAGAATTTTAATTGTTTTTTACTGAATATCAGCGTTTCTCAAAAATGGACATTAAATTATTTAAACAAATAACATGCGATATCTGTGTCACTATTAAGTTTTTAACAAAATTATTAAGAAAGTTATTAAGAAAATCTCTTCAGTTTTACCTCTAGTACCTACCTTTTACTCTGCTCCGTATGTTATAAATCACCCTGTATGTATTTGCAGACGAATATGGTAAATGTGGTGATAGCTAATATTTTACAGCCATAAAGAGAAAAATTCGAACAATTGTAATAGATATACAATCTGATGCATAATAAAATGAATATTATATTTTCCTTGATATTTATATTCGGGAAGCAAAAATGCTGAAATATTTCAGTTATTAGCAACAATCTATGTACGATATGGGGTGATGCGTATACCTGAGAGCATGTAGGTATACGCGTCCAGTACTTAAACATACATTGGGCCTCTTCTGCAACCTTCCCACATTCACTCCAATCATATTGGCCAATCTAATTGCCGAAGGCTAAGATGCAACGTAGAAGTGTGTCTTGACGCCATCCGTGCTCGACCATACTTCTCCGATGACTCTCTACATGAGGTCATGTAGATCGAGCTAATCATACAGTTTGTGTTTGACTATCTCATCGTTCTGTTCACGATATAGAGGGCTTTGAACAAGCTTTAAGATCTAAACGTGCTTGTTTACCTTACAATGATCGTAGTATTGAGTAGCACAGTTTGACATGGCCTCATAAAATACTAAGCTATTTTCATTAACATAACTCATTAACTAGTTGGTAGCCTGTAATTTACACCAAACTAAAAATTGGTATGTTAGATTATGATGATCTCAATATGAGATATTAAAGATCTTATACCTAGCCTGTGGGTATTTTGTATGATATGTGGAAAATAGTTTTCTTGGAGTTTTAAGAGGGAATATAAATTGTCAACGTGGAGTCGACGTTCCATAAACAATCTTCATTATTGTACAGCTTCCTCGGAGTGGGTTCCTAAGACACCTAAAACCGTTAAAATCCGTGCAATCGAAGCATCGGATTAAAATTAAAAGAAAACTCTAAGTTGGGATGATGTACATATGATTTACACAAAATTAAGTTCAGGTATTTGGAGTTAATATTCCAATTGTTATTAAACTGATTGTGAGACAAGTTGTAATAACAAATAGTAAGAAGTAACTTATTATAAGCAGTCAAAGAAATGCTGAAAATGTTAAAACCAACATTTTCGCCTATTGGAATTGACGAAGGAATAGCACTCGCACGCTTTCACAACCCACACTCGATCCTGCCGTCGGAATTAGTAGGATGGCAGAACTTCTGTCGCGACGATAAACGATGTAGTTGCTGTGAATTTCACCATTACAGATAGATTCATTCAGATGGATCTTTGTTGAATAAACCAAGTTAAGGACCAGGTTTTGGGACTTCACATAAAAGGTAGTTTTTGTGGACAATTCAGCATATTCTGGTAACAAACAGTATAGCACAGAAATTTAGGAGGAGAAGACTTATAAGAAATATATTCGTTGCTAAATTAAAGTTTCAATTTAGTTAACAATTCATAAAGTAAAAACACTTTTTTAAATAATTCAGCGCTATTAAAGGTCTAATTACATATTTATTTCCATAAAAAGATCATTAATAGATCAGCCGATCAGTAGAATCAACAAATCATTGT